TTCCAATGTCTTCATGGAAAACGATGTCAGACTAATTGGGACAGTGTCATCAATCCTTCCAGGTTTGGGTATGGATACCACTTTTACATCTCTCCATTTTTTGGGGATATACCTCAGAGCCAACGAGGATCTGGATATACCCACCAGGTGCGGTGTGAGTTCTTCAGGACCCCACTGAAGTAGAGCTGGATAGATACCGTTAGGTCCTGGCGATTTAAATGGAGACAGAGACAGGCTTTGGTGCGCTCGTCCATCCTTACAACTGCGAGTGTTCTCCTTCCCATGTTTTTAAGGTTGGTACCTCTTCAGGTCATCGTCGCACGTCATTCTGATGATTTCACTAGAGTGCTTCCAATACCTGAATGTGGGTGGCTGGGTTTGGCTACAGGAGGCGGACAAAATTGTTTTGTCTAGCTCTCTCATCAGTGTCTTTTTGACAAGAATTTCTCTTTCGGTAGTTATCTTACCGTAAGGGTTATCCTTGTCTATTATAGCTACTTTCAGGTGGCTCGTAGCTGCATCTTTGTAGCTTATCCTAGACAGAACTTTGTGGTCCTGTCTGGGTTTTTTCCCCTTCCGGGGCGTTGCCTCGGAAGAGGTATAAGATCGCGACCTTTTCGTGTCCCTAGTTGCGTCGTGTTCCTGGGCCTCTTGTGAAGGCAGAACTAGCGTCGCTGCCTAAGGACTTGTTTAAGCCGCTTTTGTTTAGTTTAGTTTAGTTTAGAGTTTACTGAGGGTGGCGGTTGCCGTAGCACTGCCTGCCTGCAGCCTATCCCTCTTTCTCCTCTTTGCTTCAGCCCCAGATATTCTCTTGCCTCTCCGGGGCCTGTTAGTTGGAGGTGAACTACTGTGTCCATCTTCTTTCTTTTGGAAGTGGGCGTCGCTGTCCAGCCTCCTGTGCAGGAGCTGAACTTTGTTGTCCAGGCTCCGTTGCAGGAGGTGAGCGTTGACGTCCATTCTCCTTTTTTTGAGGTGATCGTCGTTGTTCAACCTCCTACGTGGGAGTTGGACTTTGTTGTCCAGTCTCCTTTGCTGAAGGTGAGCGTTGTCGTCCAGCCTCTTTGGGTTCTTGTTTTTTGTTTGTATGTTCATATGGTTCCCACGAGTAGCTAGATAAGGAAAGGTCGACCGACGCAGAGCCCCGCATGCGCTGGCAAGGCTAAATACAAGAGGGTGTCGCCATGTTCCCTCAGGGGAGAGTTTGCTGCCGCATCTGCCCCTGCGACAATTCATCCGTCGGCACGTTACCTTACACCTCAGATTGGGGGAGTCGGTTCGCGGCGGTAGCCTTTGCAAAAGATTTTGAGAATGTTTAGGCTCTCGCACTCTACTTAGATGTACCACTAACCAGGGAAAACATGGCCGTTCTCCTATTCACCACCCGGAGAGGCGCTCAGTTGGCACTCAAACGCTGAGACAATAAGTATGATAAACTTGTGTTTATGAAACGTAGATGTGGCCGTACAGTAAAAATCATGCGACCGAACGTAAACTGTTTACTATTTCTTGTTTTATGGGGAATCTTTTTTCAGGAAGTGGAAAGAGTAACATACAATCAAACACAAAAATATCAATTTCATTGCAAATTTATTTGTTTCAAACTTCACAACTGGTTTCAATAGTTTTTTCAAAACTATTTATTCAGTATTTCTCTATAACAGTGTTACTCAAAGTGTGCTCCGCGGAGCCCAAAGCCTTTGTGAGGGCTCTGCAAAGAAAATAATCATAATAAAAAAATCAGTACTATCGCCATAAAATGGAGGGACCTGGCTTGAGGACCTTTTTTTTGAGAAGTAATTTTTTTAAGTCACTAAGAGGAAGGAGGATATGATTTTGCTTTAGGACTTTTTTTTTATTTTATTTTTTATGGGTGAAATGGATTTAGGATAATTCTTGCACGGAATCTTTGGAATTAATCAAAAATAAATTAACAACAAATTATGTTCTTGTGCATTTTCAGCCTGAGTTGCCGATTAAATTAATCGTAGATGCATCAAATGTGGAAATAAGGGACATGATATGTCATGTTTTTGAAATCAAAATATTGAGAAACCTATAGCTTCTGCTTCGCGTACCTTATCAAAGTCCGAACAAAAATATTCCCAAATTGAAAGAGAGGGCCTTGCAATAATTTTTGGCTTAAATAAATTTAATGAATATTTATATGGACATTTCTTTATCCTAGTTACAGATCACTTACCTCTAGTAACTATTTTTAACCCAGCTAAAGGTATACCCCAATTTTCAGCCAACAGACTACGTAGATGGGCAGTAATATTGTCAAATAACAATTATAAAATTGAATATGTGAAATCGGAGCATAATAATATAAAGCCGGTTTTTTATCACGTTTACCTATTGAAAGTCAAAATGAAGAAAAATTTGAAAAATATTTTTTAAATTAAGTGTTTTATGTATTTAGAGCTCCATCAAATATTTCGCTTTTCAAAAAGGTTGCGTCGCCAAAAAAGTGAGAAACACTGCTCTATAATAATATGGGATCTATCCATTTAATTTACATTTTATTTTCTCTAATTTTGACATATAAAGTAATATATTTTGTAATCGCAGCAAGTGTCAAAACGATCTACTTTATGCAACCAGTTGCATAAAGTAGAACATTATGCAACTGATCACGAAAAGTTACGAAATAAAAATAAATAAAACTGCCTCATTTTTGAAAAATCGAAAAATCTAAAATTCCAAAAAAATGAAAAATCGAAAAAAGGCAATGAATAGTAAGTAACATTACACATTTGAAAATATGACATTACGTTTAACAACAAAAAAGAATACTTTATTTTTTAAATAACACCGTTATTGAAAACTGGCCAGAAATGTTGAGGGTAAAATTTTGACATACTCCTTTAAGGATAATGGGTAAAAACGTTTTTTTTTTAATTTCCCGCGGGTAATTCAAAAATCAGATCGGCAACACTGCACATGTTGACATGTCCCTTATTTTTATTTCTATTAAAAAAAAAAACGTCTAGGGCAATCAAATACAACAATTTTCTGAAATATTTGATTGGAAGTACCTACAAAAGAATGATGGTGAATCATTTTTCAACACGATTTTATAAATAATCAAGTCAAAATTAGAAAAAATCTTGTATGTAAACACGTTACGAAATGCCGTTTTGTGTAACTTGTTTGCAAATATTTACTCGGTACATAAAAAAGGCATTTCGTAACTGGTTACATAAATAGCTATTAATAGACTTCCTAATATTTTAAATCATTAAACAGTATTTTCTGTAAATAATTAAATCATAAATAATTACCGACATATAAGTACCAAAACATTTTTTTCTCTTCGAAGAGTAGGCTTATGTCAAATAAACTTAAAATATTATAACGAACGAAAAGGTAACATATTTCTAATAAAATATAATTATTTTTTTTACTACTAACATGAGAAATCACCATTATTTACTCCATTCCTCTAATGAGAAGTAATATTTCTCTCCCTAGGTAAATAATGATAATAAAAAAAAACCTAGGTAAATAATGAAACTAAATTTCATTAGTTTCATTTTGTTAATTTGACAACTAAACTCCCAGACTACTTGATATTTTGAAATATTTGAAAAATAAGTAGGAAATAACTAAAGCTGGGGTTATCAAATCTAATCAAATCAAATATGATAATATATATCAGTGTAAACAGTAAAAATATATATTAACTAGGAAATTCAACACCGGCTTTTAAAATTATTAATTAATAACAATAAATCCATGTCATTAAAATATCAAAAATGCAATGGGATATTTCCTAGAATCATACCAAAATTTGACACATGCCAAATTTTTACATAAATAAAGCAATCTGATTAGAAACACGCTCCAGTCTGCTTGATATTTCGAAATATTTAACAAATTGTTAGGAAATTACTTATGTCAAAATTAAAATTGCTAATACATTAATGTTAGTAGTAAAAAAAATTCTATATATACCTCGGCTGAGAAAGCTATTATTTACCTCGCACATTATATCCCTCGGCGCTACGCGCCTCAGGATATAAAAGTGCTCGGTAAATAATAGCTCACTTCTCACCCTAGGTATATAATGTACTATTATTTTATTTTGGTGTAATCGTAGAAAAAATCTGTGTGTAATTCGAGCAAAAAGTACTTTGACTGTTTCGATAACTTTTTGTCTCAATAGCTATTTTGTTACACTAATTTTATAAACTTTTACTTAGGGTCGAATTCACCGTTTTGTTAAACGAAGACTAAAATGACATTTTTATATTAACAAAAACGAAGTTTAAATTACTAAACGGAGATTAAAATGACACTTTTACATTAACAATATCATTTTAATCTTCGTTTAGTAATTTAAACTTCGTTTAACACAACGGTGGAATCGTCCCTTCTACTAGCTATACATATATTGATAAAGTGTTATTGCCCTCATCATAAATGAACGTGCTAACAAATAAAGTCAAAAAAACGTCTCATAATTTCTCATATTTTAGTTACCTACCAAAATTAGGTACCACAATACAAATATTTAAATCCGGCCCAGAACATCTCCCTACTCCTTCCACCCAGTTTTTCGGTTTTGGCAAAATTCGTGCAGCGACAAATGCTTCCTATGTTACCTCCCTTTCTAACCTCTTTGGGTATAACATACCATTTCTGTCAAACGGCCATGGCTATACTGATAAATATTAGCGGCAGATAAAATATTTGATTTTACAGTAAAATAAAAAGTTTGTTTACTTCCGCAAATCGGCATGGCAATATATGGCTCTATTGACGGTTGGCGATAAAAACGATAAAAAAACGTTTATGTCGAAATTATCGACTCAAAATAATATAAATTAGAGAGGGTTTACAAAGGTTATAAAGATTATAAGATTTTTTTGTTGGTAACATTTTACTCCAAATATACAGAATACCTTTCCAATAAAAAAAATACATTACAAAAAAAATTACATAAAAAATACCCAAAGTTTAAAATCTTCCTAAAAAAAAACATTTGAAATATGCATTCACATTATTTCTGAAGTAGGAATATTGCTCAAAATGTTATCCAACAAATTTTTGGTCATCTTTTCGGAAGTTTTACTGATGATGGGACTAGCAGTTTCCAACATACTTGGAGCATTTTGATTAAAAAATGAGGTCATCATTTCCACTAAAAATAAAAACAAAATAAAATAAATACTATGTACACCGTACAAATCTGAAGACGCGTATAAATATGTTGGGCCGAGCCTACGTCGGCGTCGTCTCAACAACGGGCCAAGTTTGTCAGATTTGTACGGTGCTGCGTGTCTACCACGGGCTGCGCCAAATAGGACCGAAGTTGGCCCGATGCTTTCCATCGCGCAGTAGATCCACAACACCGTCGAATCTGACTAAACTAGGCCCGTTGTTGGCCCAGGCACGGCCCGGGCTACATCATCATTTGGCGAAGTAATTCATTGGCTAGCGCTGCCTACTGGAGGTTGAGTGGCGTGTTAATATTATAAAAATATAGAAAATAATTGTTTATACCCAACAACTTACGTATTCTTTATTTATGGTTATGGATAATGTAGATTTTAAATTAGAAATAATTAGCTTATTGTATCGGACTCTACCTGCCTTACATGAGATGGGGACGCGTCAGCCAACGGTTCCTATAGAGTCACTCAGGTATGAAAGATATACAAATTTTACTTGGATATTTTAAAATACTTAATTATTGTTATAAAAAGAAGAATGGTAGACAGCTTTGGCAGTTCCAATGTCAGTCCAAGAAAAAATAACAATTTACTATATTTCTAAAAAGCTGAAATCATTTAAATAATATTCTAAGCCTATACTTATCACGGCAGACATTTTTCACGGTTCTAACATTCTTACAGACAACCAAATGTTTCCATTGGCGCGAGCATACGCATGTATTACTATTACACTCCCTCTAATCTAAGGACTCTTTCTTTCTTTCTTTCTTTCTTTCTTTCTTTCTTTCTTTCTTTCTTTCTTTCTTTCTTTCTTTCTTTCTTTCTTTCTTTCTTTCTTTTCTTTCTTTCTTTCTTTCTTTCTTTCTTTCTTCTTTCTTTCTTTCTTTCTTTCTTTCTTTTCTTTCTTTCTTTCTTTCTTTCTCTTTCTTTCTTTCTTTCTTTCTTTTCTTTCTTTCTTTCTTTCTTTCTTTCTTTCTTTTCTTTCTTTCTTTCTTTCTTTCTTTCTTTCTTTCTTTCTTTTAGGTAGTATTTTTTCTCTTATAAATTTGCCGCTCGACTTTTTATAATTTGTTTTTCCTGAAGTTATTTGTAAAACTTTTGTTACTAAATATTGTTTGCTTTTAATTGACATTTTTTACCTGCGGGTTGGTACTGTTTATCTTTAGTATCCACTTTTATTTGCCCATCGGATATGGTTATTTCTTGGTGAAGTTTGTTTATTTTAAAATATTCCAAGCCATCGTCTTTTTTGTAAGGCTTTACACTTGCTTTCATGAAGAAGAAGATATCAGCTGAAATGAAAAAGGTATTCTTTCGAAATTATAAATATTATATTAACAGATTGGTGCATAAGTTCGAAGCGTTTTTGAATTCTGTATGAAAAGTGGTTTGGATAGGCTTAAGTTTGTAATTTGTCAGTTTAATGACAATGTTATAGCATTGAGTATTATTAGTATATTGTGCATTGTAAGTAAGCTTGTGTTACTTTTTAATTTGACTATCTAATAGTTCTATTGTTAAGTTATTCCACATCCACCATATTCTCCTGATCTTGCTCCATTAGATTTACCTCTTTTCCATCTCTTTTTAATAATGTCCAAGGTTATCCAATCCAAAAATTGCAAGAACATTGAGAGCCATAAACAATAAACATATTTTGAATGTACTATTGGATTAATTAATTTTAAAAAGCGCTATGAACTTATCCATCTCCTGTTTAAATGATATGACATCTATCAAAACCGTAGAAAGGAGACTCAAAACGACTTACTGAAATTGCCTTCTGAATGTCCACCTCTATTTTCTATTGACATCGGACCTATTTTTCCGTTTAGCGAGAAGTCTGTTTGAATATGCAGCCAAGGAATTGTTATCTTGATAGATCCGTACAAATTTTGTGGGTCCACCCTACAAATAAATTACGTCAGACTAAATATTTTCCAACTCATTTGCAACAATAATGACATTAAAAAAGCCAAATTTTTAGGAAATCGCGATTAAAGGTTTTATCAAGTTATTAATATGTTCTGAAAACTAATATACGGTTCCTTTCCAGTGGCGGCTCGTGAGGTAGTGCCACTGTGCCATGGCACTACCTTATTTTTGATGCAAAAATATATTTTTTATTTTTAAAACGTCTTATCATATTTTTATTTTATTTTATGCATTTCTTTTATATTCAAAAATTATTTAAAATGTGGCAACCTCGCGCTGTTTAAATCTCCAAGTTATTGCCGCGTACCGGAGCCATTTCTCAGGCTGGCACTAGGGTAGAGAGAGAGAGATTTTTACCAGCAGCTTATGTGAGCAACAGAGATGGGGACAATTTTACATGTATTTAAACGTAAAATCAAGGAATATTCGTGCCAGGCACAGCGCCGGTAGCTGTTCAGATAATCGCGGTTTCTCGATAATGTCGATTGTTGACTGAACCGAATTTCTTTACACGCTTATAAGTTTTTCGTTACGTTACGAAGTATTAGTGACGCTAATGTGTGTCTTTTTGTTTTCGATAAACTTGTTAAATATCTTATTTCCTAGTTTTTAATTTATTGTGACAATGAAATAAAATTGGCGTCTTAAAAAACTCTCTTAGTGGTTTTTCGCTAGAAGAAAACTACAAATTAAAGAATTAGGCCGGCCAATTCCCAATTTAAAAATTGATAAACAAAGTGGAAGTGGGCAAAAATCGCGGTGTCGTAAATTTAATAAAACTAATTATGATAAAAATAATTGGTTGTGTGGTTGCGAAGAAAATAAACTGTTTTGTTTTGTATGTGTTTTGTTTGGAGGTGACGAGACTTGGTCAAAAAAAGGCACAGACGATCTTGTCCATATATGGGATAAAATGAAATCCCATGGAAAATCTAAAGTGCACATGAATAATGTTTTTAGCTTTTTCCATGCTTGGTAAGTTAAATATAAATTAAATTCGGCTTAACGTGATGCTCTAATTAAACATAATCAACAAGTGGATAAGAATATGTTTTAATCAAATTATAAATTGTATAAGGTCTTGTGGAGCTTTTGAGTTAGCTTTAAGGGATCACGATGAGAAAGATAATTCGGAAAATAGAGGCATATTTTAAGGAGCTGGTGAATTTTTAGCCGCCAAATTAGACAACGACTTAAAGGTACCTCAAAAAACATCCCAAAATGAACTTCTTGAGGGCATGTTAGATGTTTATCACGAAGAAGTTAGGAAATAAATAGAAAATTCTCCTTTTGTTGCAGTGATTGCCGATGAAACGACGGAGCGATATCAACATTACATTTTCAGTAAAAATCAAGCTCTATAAGAAGATGCTATTGATTTTGAAAAAATCTGAATAAATTGGGGGGTTAAGGAGGGGGTTAAAATATTAAAAAAAAAACCTAACTCAAAATCGAAAAATGATATTTACTTGAAATTTTTAGCAATAATCAAGCTCTATAAAGGGAAGAAGCCCTTTGATTTAAAAAAAACATCTGAATAAAAATGGCCGGTTTAAGGGGGATCGAAATAAAAAAAAAAAAATCATAAATCAAAAACGAAAAGCGATATCAACATAAAATTGTTAGTAAAAATCAAGCTCTATGAGAGGAGGAAGCCTATTTATTGTGAAAAAAAAAGTGAATAAATGTGGAGGATCTCTCTCTTTTCCTCCCTCACTCCCCCAACCCCGGGGGCCCC